CAGGCGGGACGCTCCGAGCCGCGCCGGCCCCCAGCGCCGCTGCCGCGCCCCTGGACCGCTCCCGCCGCCCGCTCGGAGGCGGCGGCTGGTCAGGGTTTTGTTTCGGGGTATTTTTTGCTGCCGTTTGGATTTCTCTCTTTCTCTTTTTCCCCCTTCCCTTCCCCCCTTTTGGGGATCTTTTTCTGGTTTTTTTTTTCGGTGGGGATCGGTTATTGTGGGCGCAGGGAGATTGTGCCGTCTCTCCTGGAAGTCGGTTTCCCCTTCTTTCTCCTCACCTCAGCCCCCAGACATTAATGGATGCGGGGCAGGAGGGAGCGCGCCTAGTCCTGGGAGGAGGAGAGGGGAGGAGGCTGGCGAGGAGGGAGGGCGTAGGGGATGGCTTGCTGGGCCTTAGGAAACACGGTGAAAAGGCTGGGGCTTAGTCCCAGGGAGGGCAGCCTTCCTCCCCGCCTTATAGCGAGGGGGCCATCACATGGCTCCCAGCGTCAGAACCTGGCGAGTCTTCCCCCCCCTCACCCCGCCAAGAAGGGCGCCTCGCCACCGTCTGGGCCCTCCCGACCTCACCCCATCCAGGAGGGGCTCTGGGGGGGCCGCGGGGAGACCGGTGCCTGATTTAGTGGAAAAGGGGGAAAATAAAGATAACACTTGACCTCCCCGCGGGGGAAAAAAAAAAATAAAAAAAGAAAAAAGTGCAGGTCTGTCGCAAAGTGGTGGAGAATCTTAACAGAAACCCTCCGGAGGGTTCTAGGAGCTTAGCATCTTCCGGGGTTGCCCTCAGAGACAGGGTGCTGCTTCCCGTGGGAAGGGAGGGGAGAAAAAAATCAAACCAGAGAGGAGATGGTGAGTTAATAAACTTCAGACTTCTGTCCGCGGAATGGTCCCCCATCACCCTCCAGAGTTTCATTCACTTTAGAATGAAATAAAATATCTCTTGCTGTCGACCTCACAAACTCCAAAAGAACAGCCTCCAAAACATACCACTATTCTCAGTTTAATTGTAAGGCTATAGTTATTAAAGAGAGAGAAGCAGCTCCCTCCATTATAAGAAACACTAACAGAGAATTAGATTTACCTCCTTTGTATGTAAAGGAAATAAATTCACTGGCCTTTAGAATGGGACTTTCGCTTTAAGTAGGAGTAACACCCCTAAGAAAGAGTCAGAGGACTGCTTGCTGATTTAGTGGCACTGTTCACCTTTTCAGGTGATCTATTATACGACAGAACACCGGGGCCCCCTTTACGTAAGGGCTGTCAGGGAAAAAAAAAAAAAAAAAAAAAAAAAAAAAAAAAAAAAAACCAACCAAAAACCAAAAGACAAAAACTCTACCAAAGATCCCCAGCAAAATAAAACTCCCACAAATTTGGACAGAAATGCAATTACTATGGTCTTAAAAAGAAAGGCTTTGAAAAATCCCATCTTTCCCAGTTCTGGCAGGATAAACAGCAATCAAGATCCGACTGAGATAGGGGTAAAGGAGCATTTCGTTCTTAGGCATTTCGTTCTTATGCATCAGTCTACCCTTCTCACCCGTCGTGAGAAGGGTAGACTGATGCATAAAGTCTCATTGACTAAATCTCGCTTTGCAAACAACGTACACACCCTTGAAATACGTTTTCGATATACTGTCCTAACCCAAAGCTACAAGCCCCCCTGTTTCAAACCCAGTTCCATGGATTTACAACATAATCCTTTCTACTATTTCCAAATAATCCTATTTACATTTTGTTCACTACTAAGGCGCCTGCAAGACAATACCACCAAAAGTTACAGCACGGGGTGGGGGAAGAAAAGAAAACCCTCTAGACCCAGCAAGTGACTATTTTTTTCTGCACAAAAATATATATCACTCAGATTTACAGCTCCTATTGCTCACAAAATCTCTCTTCGAATTAATTTTAAGATCCTCCGGAAGCTACTAAAAGAAAGGTAGACAGGATTATTGTCTTCAAGAGGTTTCTCATCTTTACAAAGAGTTAGTATTTTATCTTTCTGCTTCCCTTTTCCCTCCCTTTTATACTTTATCTTCTCCTAGCCTGAACGTTTAAAACAGTCACTAAAAAAACATGCTCTTAAGTACGAAGAACGGCGAAGTTTAAAATGCACGGGGAAGAACCACTCCGGCGACAAACCAAAAGAGCCGGGGTCTGCCCTCGATCCTCCGCTTGCAGAACGCACGGGTGTTCCACTGAGTTTGTGACACCCGCGGCTCTTCGACAGCACCGAGCTCCCGCGAGCCTCGGCTGGGGTGCGGGTCTTTCTGGACGCGGCCGATCGGGGTGCCGTCGCGGGGGTGGCATTTCCCTTGGTAAAATCCGGCCAGCGGCGGGGCCGCGGGCTTTGCCCTGGCCCCCAGCTCGCGGTCAGTCCGCCCCGCTGCGGGCACTGCTCTGCGCGGACGGGGGATGCCATCTACCGGCAAGGAGCGCCGCGGTGGGACGCCGTGTGCGGGGGCAGGGGGCCCGGCGTGACCTCTCTGTCTAAAGCAGCCCCCGAGAAAGGCAGGGTCGGGCAGGAACCCCCCCGTCCAGAGACTGAGCGGGACCCCGAGACCCTAAAGAAAATAAAGTTTTAGAGCCACTTCGCGAACTTCCTGGACCACCTTACCACCTGTGATAGGGATCTCTGCCCATACACACCCAACCACCAAATGACCACCCTTGACCCAGGATCTTGGGGGCTGTCTTCTACGGTTTCCTGCTAGTTGTGAATGATTTGATATATCATGCATCTAAAACCACAGTTGCACAGAAGCAGGATGAGAAATACAGTTACTCAGCTAGGGTTTATACTTTTTTTTGTTTGGGCATATTAAAATTAATAATAAATTTTAAATTATTATGAATTGTAATTTTTGTTATATATTATACACACAATTCCTGCATGCATATACAGAACATCCACATTTTACCAGAGCAGCCCAGGCCTTTATTAAAAATTAAAGATTACCCTGGGCACTACACAGGGCATTTTCAAGCAGCCTGGCAGACTGGCTGCTGTGCTCTGAGTTTTCTGGAGCTGCAGAACTGGACTTTTTCTTAATGTATAGAACCATTTTTTGAATAATTTACATTTTCTGTGAATGTTGTGTCTTGGGCCAAAGATTGGACGGAATTCTGAGCTGCTTGTGTCATAGAACATACAAATGCTCCAGCAATGACCTTGCAAAAGGGTGGCGGAGTCCACGACAGAAACAATAACAGTGACAGTTGTGGTCTTCTTTGCCCAGTATAACAGTGACCGCCATTTTATCTCCACTTTTTTATTTTCCTCTACTCTTGCCACACAGTTTTGGGGAAGGTAACACTACCTTTAAACCCTCTGCGGAGGCCAGGATTATAATGTGTGGTGTGATCATATTGCATTGGAGAGGGTTGGCAGCAGTCACCTGAAAAACTGAAGAAAATCTGGGATTCCAGCTATGTCTACTGCTGAAAAAGGGTTTATCATCCTTGGAGGCGATCTCCCCTCTAATCCTGTCAAATATTTTTTTCTTCTTGACCAAGTTAGGTTTGTTTAATTGTTTGGTTGGGTTGGATTTTGTTGGAGTTTTTTTTGTTTGTTGGTTTGGTTGATTTGGGTTTTTTTTCCTCTTTGTTCTACAATTCTTGTGGGCCACATACATTTGTTCTGACAAGTGAAAGTGACTACCTTTAAGGCCCTTTGGCCTTTTAAGTTTTGTAAAATGTGATTTAATGTTCTCATGATGTTCTGATCTTAAGATGCATTCTTATTAGGTTAGACCAAGACTCATCTAGCAGCATAAACTGACCTCAACATCAACTAAGACCAGATGTTTAGGGAAGAATATAGGAACAAAACAAGTGTGTAAAATTAATTCCTAGCTGCTAGAAATGTAGGTTTCAAGCTGTTCATTTGTTTGCTTTAAAGCAGAGATAACATCTGAATTTAACAGTCTGTGAGAGAATTTATTCCATTAATTTATCCAGTCATTTTTTGAAATAAAGTACATTTACACCACTAATGCTCCTAAGCTTTAACCATGAGTGGTAAGAAGTGCCTCTTTTCATTTGCTTTATTCAAGTCATCTGCTTATTTAAATGTGATGCACTCTCATTTTTGTAATGGAAGAGACAAGGAACAATTGTTGTTAAACACTATTCCTGCTGTTCATGACTCCATAGATTCTATGACAAATTTTTTCATTGGTCACCTTTTTTACATGCTGAGGAGTTCTCCTTCAGAATCATTGGAGTAGCACAGTGGTGATTATGTATTCCCAACAATCTTTGTCATTTTCTCCACCTTTTTCCTTGTTCATCTCACCCCTATTATTTTCTTAATAGTCCTTCAAAACAGCATGAGATGTTTAAATTTGCCTTTCCAGTTTTAATTCCAACTTATTATTTTTACCCCTTAAAGCCAGTAACTATTTCCAATGCTGGTGGAAGGTTATCAGATTTACAAAATAAAGCAGTGGCTGCTGGAGTTGATACAGCAGAGTGCCTTTCATATGAACAAATCATGCTTGTTTAGGTTACCTTTAATTTCATAACTTCACCAACTACTGAAAACCTTTCTACCATTTTCCATACAAGCCCTTCTCTTTTTTGTTGTAAACAAGCT